TTGTTTTTTTTTTCAAATTTTCGGATTGGTTATTTTGGTTAAAAAAAAGGAAATGATACGGTCTCATTACCGCCGAAATTAGTATGTTGGATCAACTGTCTCCGACGATTACATGATGATCTAACAGTTACAAATCTGATTGAATAGTTCCGTAACGGGGACTGTAGCATTTAAAAAAAAAAAAGTCCTTTGCAGGTCTCATTTTTGTGAATAAAAAAATAGAATAAAATAATTAATTAAGAACCAAACAAAATTAATGTTTTTAAAATTGTAGGATTAGTATAAGCTATAAATTAATATATTTTTTCTTATCTCATTGAACTAATCATTAAATTTGATAGTTGGACGATTACTAAAATAATTTTTGAAGACCCATACATTTTTTACCTTTTTACTAGTACAACATCCGTGTATTACACGGGTGCTTGCTAATTTTTTTCTTAAAATCTAAAATTAATAAGAAAAAAGTAGTTTGAAAATTTAAATACCTTTTATAAGAATATATATATATTATTATATATTTATTGTGACACTTTTTATTTGTGCGACTTACTTGTGTTATATTATACTAATTTTTTTTAACTTACAATATATAACTACATTACATATAAATATCAGTGTTTTAAATACCGTACCGGTGGCCATACCGGTCTACCCACCGGTACGCGGTATTACCGGTACGACCGGTAATATCGGTGGTATTACCGGACTAGCAAATATAATAATATATATATTTATTTATAAAAATATATAATACCAAATACAAAAAAAATAAAAAATAAATGATCATAATCATTAATTTTAACTTACCAATGAAATAAAATAAAACATTCTAACTACCAATTTAAATTTTATGTTTTTAAATTAAAAAAAAAATATTTTTTATTTTTTTTTTTAATTTTTTTTTTCATGGCCGGTATTTTGGACCGGTTTTTCCCGGTATTTACGGTACAATACCGGTACAAAACGGTATTACCGAAAATCCGGTATTTTGTGTGTTTTTGTACCGTACCTAAGGCCGGTAACCGGTAATACCGGTATTACCGGCCGGTACGGTACGGTTTTTTAAACACTGATAAATATATCAATTGAGAAATAATTTTATTTTTCTAATGAATTTTAATAAATATTATTATTTTTTATTATTATAAAGATAAATATAATTTATTTATTTCATATATACAATATGGATGTCAATTCGAAGATCATCAAAAGATGATTAATTTGATATATTATATATGTAAAACAGATAAGAAATACAAAAGTTATCAACTTTTAAAATACATTTATAATTCAATAGTTTATTGAAGGAAACAAATTAAAATTCAAGGATATATTAATCACTTATTGCCTTACTATGTAAAATTACAAAAAAATTAAAGGGTTATATTAGTAAAAGTGATATTAAAATACCTAAGTTAGCTAAATAATATTTATAGAATACCCGAACCTAGATGATTAATTATTAATATATCAATATTATTCATCCAAACCTAATTACGAAGCATGATTATTCGCCAAATATGATTCCGAAGCAGCAGAAGCAGCCACGTAGGCTCAGCGTATTCTGGAATTATATATAGGGAGGATTTATTGGTTTCTAGCTCAAGCACCTCGAACTCAACCTCGATAGTTCGAGCCTATTCGTTATTAGCTCTCGAGTGTTTGATGAGCCACTCGAATAAATTATTTATCTACATTATCCCTAGCTCGAGCAAGTTTCGAGCTAAACTTGAACTAAACTCGAGTCAAAGTCAAGAAAAAATTTTATTTGAATAGGAAAACTCTTATTCAACATTCCATCCCATTTTGAGCTAATTAAATTCGAGTCAATCTCGAGCACGTGTATATTTTTTTACGAGTCGAGCCAAATTGAAAAGTCGAGCTCTATAAGATCATTGCTCGAGAGGAGGCACATTAGGCCCTACAATTAATCCGATATGGCAGAGCAAAACAGAATATAAAAAATTGTATTCGAATTAAATTGGATCATTTGAACACCTGCACATAAACATCAAGAAGCAATGGGTATCTCATTTCTGAGTACAGGGGAATGGGAAAAGCATCTTCAAACACCGTATAAAAGCCTAGAACTTTCAGACCTTCAAAGTAAAATAGAAGTATAGAAATTATAATCCACAACAATAAATTGGCACAGAAACTGAAAGAGTGAAGTTCAACTTATGCAACTCAGAGCTCTCCACTTAAACTTTGTGTAGTAAAATGTGGGAGAAACTGGCCTGAGAGCCTATATTGAATTGTCGTAAGTTAAACAAAACACCAGATTATGATTTGAATTTTTCGTAGAGTAAGCCAATCCATCAGATTTGCCTGTGTCATGAAGTTTCGTTTTTTCAAACATAACTCAGTGCTGTGTAAGCTAAACTCTCATGCTTTGGTTTAAAAACTGCAAAAGTCAAAAACAATGCATGAACTGTTTAACGGATATCTGTCACTCATCACAATCATATATCAGTATCCGAGCAAAGTACATATCATGAATATCATACCTACATGTTGACTCATTCTCCGTGTATATGCTTATAATTACATGATATTGCAGAAAGTCGCAAAAAAAATATTCGTCTATGAAAAGGTGATGTATACAGATCATGGCAGCGTGCAAGTTAAACAGGATAACAGATTGTCAGAGCATCAATTTTCTCATCACAAATCAGCATGTATTACGGTATTATCAATTCTTTATTTCGGCCATTACTAGTGAACTTTCTAAAACGTACACTATTAAAACCAGCAACAAACGATCTCACTCTTGAAACACTAACGAGTACCATGTCTATATGTATATGATAAAAAATAAAGAAATCATCAAGAGCACCAATTTGGGGACAAATAAACAAGAGAACATAGACGAACAAAACTTCCTTCCGAAAAACAAGAAAGAAAGCAAACATGCATGCACACACACACACACACACACACACACAAACAACTCACGGAGAAGTAAAGTAAGATCCAAAGCAATAATCACCCATAGAAACTCGAAAAGCTCTCTTTTTTCTCCTCAAGTTCTTCTTCGCGGATCCAATATACCTAACCACCCGAGCCTGAAAATCTTTCTTCCTCAAAACTGAATCCACCAAAAACACATAGCAACAAACAAGGTAAGATCGTAGCAATCACTCTCAAAAACTCAAAATACTATCCTTTTTCTCCTCAAGTTCTCTGCGGTTCCAATATACCTAACCAGCCCAAAATCGTCCTCCCTCAAAACCAAACCCACCAAAAACACAAATCAACAAACAAGGTAAGATCCTAGCAATGACTCCTCAAAAACTCAGAATACTCTCCTTTTTCTCCTTAAGTTCTTCTTCGCGGTTCCAATATACCTAACCACCCGAGTCCGAAAATTGTCCTTCCTCGAAACCAAACCCACCAAAAAAGCACAGCAACAGAAACCCAAAATCCAATCTTTATTACCCCCTGTCCTCCACGCTCCGGCCGAAAACGCAAACAGGATCAAACCCAAACCCCCAATGACAGCATCAACGTCTAACACTAACTCCTTACCCAGAACAAACCACGCGCCCACCAACCCACAAATTACCAAAATGCCCACCATCCCCAATTTCCCCTTTCTCCTCCTTCTCCACCCATCGGACCAGCCCCGCCCGAACCCGTTCCAGAACCCATTCCCACCTCCATCATTGCCGCCGCCACCGACGCATTGCCTCAGCAACAACCCTAACGGCTCGGGTAAAAACCCTAGCTTCGATGCGATGACGCAAGCTGATTCGAGCACCAATTTTTCGGATTTTCCTATCCCAAATCGCTTCCTCCTGTTAGCGGCGCAGAGAATTGATTTCCGGTGAGAATTCCGGCGAGGTACGGGAGCGAAATAAACGGTGCGAAGTGAAGGGATACAGCTACCTCCATTAGGGGTGAAGAGAAAAGAGGGATTTGATGCGAGACGAAAGGTTATCTGCATATTTTTGCACTGGAAAAGTGGAAACTCAGACGACCTTTGCTCGAGACAGTATACCGTTGTGCGAGCTGAAATTTTGAAAAAGTAAAAAATAAAATTAAAGGAAAACATTTCGTGATTTTTCATTTTTAAACTTTATTATTATTATATTTATGGGAAACGTTAGGGTCCTATTACGAACTATTCCGTCATAGTTTGTAACCGTTAGATCAACGTATAACTGTCAGAGCTAGTTGATCTAACGGTTACAAACCTCCGAAAGAATAATTCCGTGATGGGACCGTAACATCTTCCTATATTTATTATGCATGTGGTTGATTTAACGAATGCTATGGCCTATGGCCGCGACTCGCGAGAAAAGGGAATTGGTTCAATGTTCATAGAGCTTAATCGGTCTACTCAAATGTTAAATCATGAAAAGATGCACATGATCCGATATTTTTTTTTTCCCAAACTATAATTGTATTAAAACTGAAAAACTCAGAAGATAGTACAAAAAGAGTGCCAACGGATACAACAGGAACCAGAAAATCTGGACCTACTCTCTTGAACAAATACATGAGTCCAAGAGGTACAAACTCCATCTAGGAGATAACCGTACACAAAAACCCAACTTCAGAAAGGAGACCGAAACTCCATTACGGAGACTGAATGTCAGACACAACTGGACTTAACGAACTAAAAACATAAAGAAAAAAAAAAGAAAGAAAAACAACTCACACCTAATAAACGAAAAAATAAAGAAAGAAAAACAAACACCTAATTTACAAATAAATTAGGACCTCCTCTACACCTAGCAGACCTAACTCCCGCCACCCGAGATCGCAAACGAGCCACTAGAGATTCAACAAAGCCGCAAAACAAAACTTCAAGCCCGAAACTGCGCCACTCGTGCCACCTAGTCGGATCTGATAAAGAATCTGCTCTCGATTTAGATCTGGACTCCGAAAAACTATCCACGCTAGGGGAGATAAGGAGCCGCCCATAAGCCTTCGAAAATCACGCCGGATAGCTCGAAAATGGTTCAATCGCACAGCCGAGCCACACCCTTGAACACACACAAAGAGAACCCGAACCCAACGCACCAACAACCCGATGGACTCCAGGGACTGGGGCCTGACATGGATGACCGACGACCTTTCCGTGGTCAGGGAGATGGCGGATCTACAGGCATCGATCCGAGCCATACACTCATGAGGCCACGGAAACAGCGGGACGAAGGCCCACCAACCCCGACTCAGTGGAAGCCGACCCCGACGACGCGGTTGCAAGTTGTCGGTGAAGGAGGGGCAACAGAATTTAGGGATCTGAACTTTGGTTGCAGAGGGGTTTTCTGGGTTTGGAGGAGAAGGTGAACAATGTCGGTTTTTTGCCTCAGACCCACATGATCCAATATTGCTATAGGAAAAATTTCAACATCGTTTGGAAATTTATATTTTTATTCGTGATTTTATTATCTTTTATCGTGGTCTGATGAATAACATTCTATGATCATAAAATCATAGCTCGGTTAAACTTGATTAACGTCAAGTAAAACAAGTTAATCGATTCAGGAATGGGCCAAGAGGGCTTACCAGGGTTAAACGATTAAATGTATAAGTTAAACTGGTACAGTTAGACGATTAAATGTATAAGTTAAACTGGTACAGTCAGACTAAACTATGACGATGAACCATGACAGAGACAATTATTATTAATGGACCTACCAAAGGCAAAAAGATGATCGTTAAACAAGTCATGTGCCTTAATCTTAGATAGAGTACTTAATGGGACATCCAACCTAAACACAATAAGCCTACTACCATTCAGTAGAATGAGGAGTCATGGCCTATGGATATCTAACACGCCGACATAAGGGAGTTGGTTCATGGAGCTTAATCGGTCTACTCATATGTTAAATCATGAAAAGATGCACATGATTAGATATCACTATATGTAAAATTTCACCATCTTTTGGAAATTTATATTCTTAATTTCTTATCGTGATTTTACTGTTATTTTTTATCGTAGTATGTCCTAGATAAATAAAATTTTACGTTAATAAAGTCATAGCTTTGTTAAATCGAATTAATGTCAAATAATGATTAAATCTCAGGTAGTCAGGCAACTCCACGCAGACTGACCAAGGGTTGCTGGGCAACCCGAGCAACTAATCATGAACGCCATGTTATTCCTTTATAAAAGAGGATGGCGTACAACTGCGCAACACTCTCTACGCTCTTTACACTCATTCATAATTCTCTAGATACATTATACATTATCATCTACTTCTCTTTAATGACTTGAGGGCCGGAGTGTTCATGCTGGAAACCACTATCGACCATTGCTTTGTAGGTAATCTTCTCCTTAGTGATAAAACAAATTGCCTTTTAAGTTGAATGTGAAATATTAAATCCTAATAATTGTGATTTGCTTTTAGATGGTGATCGCGTAAGAGAACTTGTACATTGAAGGCCATTTTTACTGCGTGTGTGATGATAGTGCAAAATATTACTAAGTTGTACGACCTAATCTAGCTGTGCTGTTTTTTCATCTTATCCATGTGGAGCCATCAAATCAACACACACTCATGGTGTGTGAAAATATATAATCTGACGGCCAAAAATCGTGTAATAGCACTACCCACAGGTGTAGGATCGAATCTATTTCGTACTCGATTGTTGATATAGCAAAAGCTAGCACTCGCCCGACCCATTCCAAGCAGAAGCTATTGGCTTGGCTTTAAACTTGAAACGTTGCTAAGCATATGTGCTTCAAAAGAGTTCGATTATGTTATGCAAAGCAGCCACCTTTCCTCATTCTTTGAGATAAATATGGTTGCTAAGTAAACTTTTAAAAGGAGGTGAGACTTAGCTGTACAAAATAGTTACGCCAAGTCTCGAAGGTTGAATATGAGGCTGCAAGATCCATGTGCACAGTCAGCCATGCCGGCGATATCGAAGGTTGAATATGAGGCTGCAAGATCCATGTGCACAGTCAGCCATGCCGGCGATATCGGTTGTCTCCTTCGTATGAAATGGACTTTGTTTTGACTAGATATGGAATGAAAACTGTCAAAATTGGTTATTCATATGCTACTAATAAATAAAGTACGGGTTAATAAATAAAACTGATGGATCACATGGATCACTCACTACTATACTGGGTTACTACTTCGTATGACAAATATCTCTACTCCCTACACTTCGTGCAAAAAATTTCACATAAAAATTATTTGGGCTGCATGTTTGCTGATGACGTAGAAGGTATTTTCGTGCACGGTCGTCGCACGACAAACCATGAAGAGAACTATAAAGAGAATCCAGCAATGATGAGGCTGACAACCATGAACACGACATAGAGCGCCACAAGGCAGAACCCCCAGAACCTCGGCACCCTGAACCTATGCCAAATCACGACCAACAGCGACCCCATCAAGCTCATCAACAAAAACACAAACGCCACCACAATGCTCGTGTGGAATCGAAGCCTATACGCTTCAGGAAAAACCTCCGCTGTCTGCATCACCAGGCCCGTCCCAAGCCCGATCAGCATATTGAACATCGGGCACGCGAAGCAGCCCGCCATTGCCATCGCGGGCTGCCCGGCCCGAGCCACCGCCACATCAGCCACAAGGTCACCCAACGAGTTCCCCCATGCAAGCACTGTCAGCCCGAGTAAGGCCGGCGGGAGGCCCAATAGCTCGCCGAGCGCGGCCAGGCAGCCGAGTAGCTCACCGGCAGCGGTCGATATCCAGAAGACACTCATGGCAAACGCGGCCAGCACAACCGGGAGTTGTTCGGATTTCGGTGGGTCCCGCTCGATTGCATAGTGGAGGCCAGCTAGCGAGCAGCTCCCGAAGAGGACGATCGACCACAGAGGAAGGTGAGTGTTCGGGAGGAGGAAGAAAACCGGGTGGTCCAAAGGCATGAATGATCTGCAAGAGTAGAGAAATACGAGCGGGCAAATGGCAATATTGGCCGACTGGTAGAATCTGCTCCACTCGGTTGGTGAGATTTCGGGGATTGTGAGTTTCAAGAGTGTGGTGACAGGGACTTGCCATGTTCGTGAAATCTGTAGGTAGAGAGTAACATTTGGGATTATTCGGGCATGTGGGTGCAAAATTATTTTGCATAATGTAAAGCTGAAAATAACTAATTTCTGAAAATTATAAACTGGGTTGTGAGTTAATCATTATCATTGGCGTTACAGGATTATCATCGAGCATGTGCATATATCGGGCCATAGGACAAACGTTCGGTATTATAATAATTTCTTAACCAGAATATTGTCATACTGATGGCTAGAAATAACGTATAGATCATTCCTGGCCAAATATTGTGGTTACAAATGGAAACAAGCAAGTACGAGGCATTTTATGTTTGCTCTGATTCGATTTCAGGAAGGTCGAGACGGTTAGTTCAGACAAGATTATAATGTGGCACAATTTCGCAGAGATAAATGAGCTCTAAACACATGAATATGTAATTGATTAGAAAATGGTGAAAGTGGATGGTTAAACACGAGAAGTTCGGAAGGACAATGCTATTGCCATTGGTCTTACGTATATACAATAATAAAATCAAGAAACTCAAAAATTACACAGTGATGTGGCTACCCTTATAGGTATATTTTCCATGTGATATTTAGACTTACTGTTTTCTTGTCTAGTAGACAGAGTAGTTGATGAGACAATGGTACAATGTTCACCTACTTCCTACCAAGATTAAATTACAGATAATAAATACCTGAAGATATGCATGACCAAAAAGAAAAGATGAATTATGGAAAGTAAGTAAGCTTCTTTCTTTCTTTTGAAGCACTCCACGCACACAGAAGAATTATGATTGGAACATCTAAGTACCGAGCTAGATTACGTTCATATGCAGCAAGATATAGAATAAAGAAGGAAGGCAGAAGCCTGAAGCTGATAGCAATGTGCTTAACACTTGCACACCATAAAGTCCGGCTGCACTGTTCATGCTGAAAGAATATCTTACACATCTTATGCAGTCAGCATTATAATGGAGATTTTAAATCACGTCCAAACACACACAAAGGTAGGAATCAGATACACAAATAAATGCCGTGGGAAAAAGGAAAGAATATTATACTGCCTCTCCCATGGAACTGGATAACCCAGCCTCTCAAAAAAATTTACCATTAGCTTTCAAAAGCGGCAGTCCAAATAGTTCTGATAAATTCAATCAGGGGCATTGTAAGGAACTACCATGTTTCCTTACGAAACTCTAGCAAAGCTAATTACTTCACCCTAACGTACTAAAACATCACTGATATATCTTATCCTCAACAAATTACAGGTGACAAACTAGATTCGGAAGTTTAAGGAGGGTGAGTCGTAAAAGAATTCTTTAAAATGTCAAAGACAGAACACATCACATTTTCGAATTTCAACATCCCAAATTTTCTCTCATACTATAGCAATATCTAGAACATCTCACATCTCAGAATGCTAAAAGGCAGTCCGTAGAGATGAACTGATATGCTAATTACTAAGATTGTCATTCAACAAAAAGTAGCCTGCAAATAAAGTTGCCCAATAACATTCATTAGTTCTTTCTTGACATATAAATTATTGTCATTCTTTCAATATTGACCGACTTTCTAGGGATAGAAGGCTGAGTCACTGCATATCTCGGTGTCACATTTGTAAGAACTCGGAGCAGCGACAAGCTGAAACATTGCAAAGGCCATATATAAAGCAACTAATACACTTTCTTTTATACGATTCAAATTCCATGAGCAATAGTTTCAAACCATCTCATTGTTAGTTTTTAAGACTCGATCATCTCAGCAGTGGCAAAAGATCCAAATAAAGCCATCAGAAACATGCAGAGACAATAAAAGGAAAGGCCATTTGAAAACATATACAGCTTAAACATGCAAACACAAATGCCATTGTCAGTAACGATAAGAGAAACGGGATGCAGCAAATGTACCTTCTCAATGATTTTCCACAACCCAAATTCCGACCTCCTTTCAACTTCCAACTCTCTCAATCCCCCATTTTCACAGTCCAATCCAACAGCTTCACAATCCCCAACCGAACCCAGCAACTCGACACCACCATCACCGGATCTCTTCCTTCTCTCCCCACCGGCATACCCCAAGTCCATCCAGAACACAACCCCAACGAAGAAAACGTAAAAACCAACAAACCCCACCGCCTGCCACAGGTAGATCTCGGCGCTCAGGTAGACGTAGAACAGGAAAAGCGCCGCGGTCAGGTAGAATAGCACGTCCCTCACGAACGGCGCCGGATCCACCGAGAACGGCGCCGCGTATATGGCGACGAATCCCACCACGAGGGCCGAGACGAAGGTCCCAGCGGACAGGATCGCCCCGAACCCGGTCCTCGGTTGGCCCCCCCTAACGGCCGCGACCGACGCGAACACATCAGGAGCCCCATTTCCAAGGGCAAGCAGCGTCACCGCCCCCATCGACGGCGACAGGTTCATCCGGGCCGATAGCTTGGTCACGACGACTGAGAATCGGTCCTGAGCGGTCTTGACCAGCACGTAGAACTGCAGCAGAAGGGCCAGGACGAGGAAGGGGACGGATAGGACGGCGGCGCCGCGGAAGAGGCAGGTGTGGACGGAGGAGTAGTTGAGGAGGCCATCGGAGGAGGTGATGTCGGACAGGGAGCACTTAGTTGCGGCGGCGGGGAGGAGGGAGGCGGAGAGGAGGATGAGAGTGATCTTGAGAGTGGTGAAGAGGTTGAAGGCCATATGCCATTGCTCAACTCAACTGCTGTGCTGTGTGTGTATTATTGGGCTAATGCTTCACTGATTTACGCGCTTTATAATATTTTTTTAATTTTTTAATAAAAACACGACATTTAAAAAAAAAAAAAAAAAAAACATCATAAAGCAGTCGTAAATAAAAGGACTTCCAAGGTGCTCCGGCGGAGCAAATTCCGGGAATAAGAGAAGAGCCGGCGAAAATGGTGCTCCGCAAGTTCGTCGTGGAACACGGCAGCTCAGCCTTCGACGTCGACTATGACACAGACGACGGCTTTGAGGTTTGTTCTCTTCAACCCCTCTTTCTTTCCGCTTCGTCTCTCTTCTCTCTTATCATATTTAAATTCGTCACTGTCAACCGATCATCGTCTTCTTGTCCGATTGCGTTTCAGGTGCTCAAGTTCCAGCTCTTCTCTCTCACATCCATCCCTCCTGATCAACAAAAGGTCACGATCTCACTCGTTTTCTTAGTTTTCGGCCCATCGTGCCAATTATAATGGATCAAGAGTGTGTAGACAAACCTCTGCGTGTTCCACTGTGTTGTGATTGTTCTGGGCAATTTGATGCTTAGATGTTGGTTTCCCATTTAATAAGGATCTTTTTTTCTTTCATAGGTTTACACGGAGATTCTGGCATTATGTAGAAAGTAGGAGTGAGAATAATTAATTAAAGTTTTACATGATTACGACATGGATGCTTTCGGTCACACATTAGCTTGTCGTTGATTTCGATAGAACATGCTTCGTCTGCCCTAGGCAAATCTTGTGAAGTTTGCATAGATCCTCATTTTATTTATAATCACTATGTATCTTTTATTGAAAAAAAAAAAAAAACAAAGTTGTATCTTTTGATCTTGTTAATACACATTTTACCTCTCCAGAGCTCATATCAAACTTGGCGAATTCTAGAAGGGTATTGTGTTCTTGAACATTTACAACGAAATTTGTTTTTGGTCTATATTTTATGCTGAAATGACACTTATTATGGGATATATGGAGTAGGATATAAATAAAAACAACCTTGTATTCTCAGTATCAACATCAAGTAATTCTACCACAGAGCCAGGGGGCTGATCGTTGAATAGGATAAAGACCGAATCTAGAGTTGGTATCCCCCAGCTAGTTTTCTGAAACTGGGCAGTTGGTTTTGCCACATTTTCATGCTATTTTTTGTTCCTACAAAGCCCAGATCTTAGATGTCTCATGTTAGCTTGCGAGTCCGGTTAGATAGATTTGTCAAATTTATTGGTGATGTTTAACTTGGGATTTCAGATAATAAGAAGTGATGATAACCATATGGTATTGGAGGATTCTGATCTTGAATCAATATGTAATAAGCTGCGGTTGGTGTCACTTGAGGAGGATGAAAAAGCAAAAGAAGTTGAGAAACCTGTGGCTGATTTTGTGACATCCGATGAAGAATTGGCTCGAATGCTGCAGGTTTTGTGTGCTATTCTTAAGTTGCTCCATTTTGATGTCCTATTATTTAACTGAATTTTTGTTGATCTATCTGGCCAAATATCGTAAGATAGGTTTGGGATAAGTTTCTGACTTCCAAGAAAATAGTTGAATGTCAGGGTCGAAAAGATGGGTTTCTGTAGGGTAGGAGTGTTCGGAAAGCATAATGGAAATCTGTAACGCATTTATTTTATGTTAGCAGGTATTATTTAATTGGAAATTTGCGTTAAAAACTTATATGCTGGATCTTTAGCATTTCTTTCCCTATATTTCTTATTTTACTTGGGAGTTTTTTGGTTAAACTGTCATGCAGTTCTTGGGTGATTATAAGACTCTCTCTCTCTCTCTCTCTCTCTCTCTCTCTCTCTCTCTCTCTCTCTCTCTCTCTCTCTCTCTTGTGGATTCCCTGTAATTATTATATATATTATATATATATATATTTTTTTTCTTTTGAAACCCTGTTAAAATTTTTAGATTGGATTATTGCTTGCTGCAACTCAATGTTCCTCATTATAAGATTGAAAGAGAAAATGTTCAAATGAAAAATTTCCAGAGTGTTGTCTGTATAGTACTTGCACTTTTTTTCCTTTCAAATTATTGGAGGAGAATTTGATATCTCGAGAAGAAAACATGTTATCCCTGAGATACATAGATATATGTGTAACAGTGTAAGCAGAGTTTTGTTTAGTAACTGTCGAAAATTACTAAAGGATTCTGTTGCTTTTGTTAGGCAGAAGAAGAGGCATTAATGATGCAACAGTTTGTGACTAGTGAAAATAGAGAGCAAGTTGAGCAGAAGATTCGACCTTATCTTGATCAAGTTCTAATGGTAATTATGCTTCATATTGTGTGGTTCACTGTTAAGCGTTTCTTAACTAGTAATGGACAGAACCAGGGAATTGCGAACAGTTTTATTATCTCAGGTGCATTGGTGTTAGTTTTATCAAATTGTTGAGTAAGACTGGATCGAAAGGTTCTCATATATTGCTTACTCATTAGAAATGCATTCAATATGGTAAGAAGACTTATTTATCTTTGACTATGGAGAGTATGAAAGAAAATTGTGTCATCTAGATCACTATATGCATGTTGTTGGCACAGTATGAAGACATACATCGGCAAGAGGCAGCTCGAAAGACGGTACCCGTGGATAAGCTTGAGGAGAAGGCAATGGTTGCCTTGGCCAGGGTTAGGCTCCTATGTCCACCACCACCCTGTTTCTATTTCCTTTTCTTTTGGCCTTTTCAGCTGTGATGATTTTTTTTTTTTTTGGAAATTCAAAAAACTAGGAGTCACCCAAAATTTTATTGTCAATTATACAGTTTCTGAGGAATATGCATGTCTGTCTGATTGTCTCCAAGTTATGTTATTCTTTGTTTCAGTTTATACTTAGCATTTCTGTTCTATATTTTCCTGCATTCAGGAGGGAAATTGCAATCCGACGAAAGATCAACTTGATCATGCATTCCTGTTGCAGTTGCTCTACTGGTTTAAGCAGTCATTCAGGTTCAAATGTATTCTTCATTATTATGTACAACTTCATATCCGAAGTTCGCTAGAAGAAATAGTACTCTTGCCTCATTTGTACTTGCAGTAATTTGTATGGCTACTTCTCTTCTTGGGTGGGCTATATTACATTTACAGATTTCATCAAATCTCTTCTCTGTTATGGGATAATTTAGTACTTCAGCGTGTCAAAATAGCAAATATCTATTTATCGAGGGTGCTCATCTCATCTTATAAATGCATATTTATAAGATGAAGAGCAAGATTAATATTTAACTGAGAAAGTTGATCCCTGGAGGCTGGAACGTTCAGTGATATTTTGCCAAACAAAAACAAGAAAGAGAGTTGACTTGCTTAGAACCATATACCTGGTTTAACAAAGGTTCAAGGAGGTTTAATGAGATGGAAAAGGGGATTTCTATGTAGTGAAGGGGAATTCTAATTTAATATATGAAGTATAGATGTGGTTCTCAAATGTTATGTTGCTTTTAGGATTCCCAAAAAGGTTGCAAATATTATAGAGAAGACAGTGAGGGATTTTTCATGGGAGGGGGTTGATGGAGGTGCTCACTCTCATCTAGCTGCGTGGGATAGTGTTTTGAGGTCGAAATGAAGTTGATAGGTGTAAACGGGTAATATTTTGTGGCAGTCATAGAATGGAAAGGATTGTGGAACTGAATATATCTAACAATGCTTGATTCATAATTTGCGGGCTCTTGGCCAAGTGGCGGAGATACAAAACGGGAATGAATCAATTCAAGAATGTTTGATTTGGGATCTTGGTGGATTATGATTAACTTTTTAATTATCTGCTTCTTTTAAAGCATCATCACCTTTTGTATTTGTAACAACTTAGTATAACTAGGTGATAGTTTATAGCATCTGTAAACACTGACTCTATGGTGATAGCTTTGTGTATTCGGCAAATGGTGGAAGTGTTCATCACTTCTGGTTCCAAATATCTTTTGCAACAAACCTCCATTTTTCATAAATCTGAACATGCATTTATGATGATTCCAGGTGGGTAAATGCTCCACCTTGTGACAGTTGCAATAGTGAAACAGTCAATCTGGGCATGGGAGTTGCAAATCATTCCGAGTTACTTGATGGAGCATCCCGAGTTGAAGTATACCGGTATTTTGTCAACTGCTATTTCTTACAGATGTGTGTATCTTATATGAGCAGATGTGTTGTATTTGAAACTCCATTAAACCCATGCTGCACTAAATACGCTGCATACCTCATTTCCTTTTCGTCTTTTACTATGTTTGTGAGTATATTGAGCTAAGCTAGCGACATGGATGTGATGTTTATGAATGTGTAAATGATGACAGTTACTGTTGATTGTTACCTGCAATTGTGAAGATGATTTTTTGCTATATCACAAGGATGTTAAGATATCCGAGCTATGATTTTCATCAACACCAATAGTTACTTCTCATATATACTGCACACAAAGATGTCCGCAGATAAAATAATTTATTACAACCCCTGGGAACTGGAATATACTCTCTATGTGTTAAATGGCGAATTCATAAAACATACCAAAACTTTGTCGCTTAAATAACATAAATGGTGAAGTAGCTGTCATTGTTCTTTACCTTGTAGTATTTGAACTCTGTACAAGAAGAAGAAAACAATTATTTCCGCGTTGCAGTTAATTTTTTCGTCCTTTTCATCTTGTACAGCTGCAAGTCATGCATGAGCCAAACCCGCTTCCCGAGATACAATGACCCACTGAAGGTATGGTACTTCATGAAGTTGACCAGGTCTTGAGTTGAATATACAGTTTGTTGATAAACATTTTTATGTAGCTTCTTGAAACAAGAAGGGGACGCTGTGGGGAGTGGGCGAATTGCTTCACACTATATTGTCGAGCTTTTGGCTACGAATCTCGGTTGGTACGTTCACTTATTAAAGAAATCTTATGGGTAAATTGCATTAAATCTTAGAAAGGGTTCTGAGTGTAATATATTTTTTCTCTTTTAATAAACTAGTAAATATCTCGTGCTATGCACGGGTTTTTATATGTTAACCATTATAATATTAAAATTGCCAGTATAGATTCTTTAGTGTTGTTTCTAATAAGATTCTCACATTTATAGATTTTGGACCTCACAGACCATGTTTGGACAGAGTGCTTCTCACCATATCTTGGAAGGTAAAATTGTCTTTCTGCTGTTCTCCTTTATACTATCTTCACCCATATGTTTAAGAATCGGAATATTCTATTCCTGGGACAAACAATGTTCAGATGGATGCACCTTGATCCTTGTGAAGGAATATACGACAACCCACTGCTATATGAGAAAGGGTAAATATCTTATAGATGGTTTATTTATTTCAATCCAGATACTGTACCCAGAAATGTGCTTTTTCACTCTTTTTATTCCTGATAGTAAACTAATGTCATTGTCACCTTCTGAACTGGGATCGGTGATTTTTATTTGAAGCTGGGGAAAAAAATTGAACTATGTAATTGGTATAGCTAAAGATGGGGTTTATGATGTCACCAAGCGTTACACAAGAAAGTGGCACGAGGTACAATCGTTCGGTTTCTGGCATGGGCCTTCCCTTTTCCCTCACATGCAGAAAAAAACATATTCTTGGTTTGTGTTGTCTTTGTTTTCTTGGCAGGTTTTGTCCAGACGAGTTATAACCACTGAGCCTACCCTGGCAAATATAATCTTCGATATAACAAAAGAAAGGCGGAAAACCTTCAGCAATGAGACACTCTTAAAGCTTGAAGAACGTGACAAAAATGAAGTAGAAGAACTTGAACAAGCCTTGTTCTCTAAAGACGATGCCTCGATCTCACTCCCTGGAAGGCAAAGTGGGGATAAGGAGTGGCGTATATCAAGATCGGAATTCGGTTCTGGTGATCACAGCTCGTTAAGTTCCTCATCCTGTCCGGCCCGTAAATGTGTGGATGAACATGTGACGAAAATTTATAATGCATTTTTTCCCATCATTAGTCAATTACTGGAGCTAGCATATGATATATCTAGCGCAACAGAAATTCTCGAGTCTTTCAAAAGGATTTTGGTCACCCTAAAAAACGCCCCTTTCAAGGCCAGGAGAACCACAATAAATGCGGTGTCATCTAATTCATTGTTTGGTAAAATTCTTCCCTCATTCCGTCAATTGTTCGATGCCCTTTCGTTAACGATCGAGTTAGGCGTTGATGGGGCAACTGATATACGCACGGCGTCAGATCCCGTGAAAACGTCCCTAGCACTGCCTGTTGCTTTCCATGCCCTGGATGATTTAATACATAATTTGAACTGTTGCGAGAAGCTGAACAAAGAATCTCTGTCTTGGCCACTTTTGAAGCTTAACAGAATCTGTTCTGGCTTTGTACTTGCAAGCGGTGAGGAGCTTCCTTTTGGGATAGTAAGCACCTTTCAACTTTTCACCGCTCAATAGAATCTTTTTTAAAGATATTTTTCCTTGGCGTTCTTCACCTGATTATCATTGTTGGGAATGATCAGGCCACATGTGCATTTGATGGGACTCGTTTGTCAAAGTGGGAGGAACCAAATGGGGCAACAGGTTATCATTGCTTTTTCTTTTGTTGTATATTAATTATTAGATGAAATCTTGTTCCACAAACATTCTCTTGAACTTCTTGGGATAAATTCCACAAACATTCTATTGAACTTCTTGGGATAAATTTTCTTCTCTACATTTCTATGCAATGTTATTTAGTCCAACATTTTGCATGCCTTTGATCTCATAAAATCAACAATAGAGAAGATTACTAAACTCGTAAAATCTTTTTTTCCTCTGCTTTCCTACTGCAAACCGGATTTTAAATTTGTGGATCATTGGATTATATGAAACAATGATTTATAAATACTGAAATCATATATAATGTATTATCTGAACTTAGTAACTGTATACATCTTGTTGACTCTGCATTCGATCTTACAGGCTGTTGGATCATATATAAGGTGGTTGAAAACTGTATGCACAAGCTTATCGCTTATGAATTGATGTCAGCAAACGATGCTCCAGAGAGAGACCCAATGGACTGGTATAGTGTTTTCTCAAATTCTCAATGTCTTCCAATTTTAAACTATAGTATACATGCCTGTAATTATTGAATATCATAAACAGTGCTACTTTTAGGCTTTTAGTACAATTCAACTACTGCCCGAATTTACATTTCAAGGTTTTGCCATTGTGGGCTTCTGTATCTGTTTCTCATTTTGGTGGTCAGAAAATATTTTTATCCAATTTAGATAATTTTTGTACTTCTGTTGGATTCCTGCTGCTTCAACATTGGCTGCTAAACACACTTATACAAGTTGGTATATTGATCAAATGTCCTATTCTGTATTAGTACCGCACTACTCCTTCGAAATGTCTAACATTTAACCCATGTGTTACTAATTTTATAATATATATATATATATATTATTTTGTTCGGGAGGAAAGTCGAGTGGTTAATCCAAATTATACTCTTGTAGGATCCTCGAAGGAAGTGAAGATGGAGGCTCCAATTGGCACGTCCTGGATGAACAGACCTCACAGATATTTAGCAAGAGGTTCCAGCGAAAAACATTTACAATAGAAAAATCCCGATCGTTCGTGGCAAATACCTTCAGGTGAAATTACTTTCGCAGCAAAAAAAAAAAAAAAAAAAAGCTTCTGGTGAAAGTTCGGTCAGAAACTTGCATCTCAGTGGATTTATAATATTTTTGTTCACTGATTCTGGTGAGTCATGGTGATTGCAGGTTTAGATTTCTTTCAGTTAGAGATACAAAATCGACGTCACGGTTTCAGATTGGCAGCATTGATCTCTACGCAAGCACAGATGATGTTCATGGCTTAGAACAATGAAAACCCGAGTGAAAGCTCTAACTTATTGCCTCCCTTTCTCATAGGAAACTATAGACCTTTGAGAATTTCAGAAGTTGGCTTAAGCTAACAAAGTTGTTGTACCTTGTAATTTCATGTTCGCTGTTGTACTCTGTCGAGAATATAGGGAGCATGCATAATAGTGCATCTTACAAAGGTGTACTTGTATTTTTAGTGTTGTGACTGTTGTTCTATTGCGTATATCCAAAATATGGATAAGACTCGTGCATTTCAAATGTTGAGAAAAAAAGGAACAATTACAATTACAATTATAAGGTTTGTGAATGTGGAAGTTCTTTCCTCCTGTTGGAACATAATGTCGAAAACTGAATTATTCGACCGAATTTTCTCATATGCAGAAACATGCATAAACAAAGTCTAATCCACACTGAACTAAAGTTCTCCAATTCCCATTTTTGTTACACGAAATCGGGACAATATGAAAGGGTAATGACTATAATGGCCACATAAATTTCCCTTGAAGGATGTTTTTTTACTGGACTTTGGGATGAAAAGACTTTGTTCATCAACTTCTCCCAGCTAAACAAGTGATACATTTTTAAGAAGTTTCCAAATAAAACGAATTTCAGACTTCCGCTTTGCTCATTCCAGACTTAATGCTCCTCAATCTTCTTTAGACCTTTCATATCTGTTGTTTCAACCCTGCCAGGTAAAAGGCTTTACAGTTACATTCATCACATTAAAGGGGCAATAGCTCTTCTTAGTGATCCTTGATTCATATGAATGAACTGTTTATGAAGCACAAACCACAAATTGCAACATCCCTTCAATATGGTAGTAAAAAAAAAAATGTTTCTTCTTCCAGTCTTTTTAGTATTATCATATTTCACTTCCCGTGTCACAACTATTACCGGTTTCTTACCAGTCATTCATAAAATTATTCATGAGTTAGCTCAGAGTTCAAATGAAAGAAATGAGAAATTTCTTCAGATTAAAATCATTGTTTCTCTTTCTACGTGTTTTATCGCTTTAGCTCTAAAATTGCCTCCATGTTTTTTCTTTCGTTTTGGCTTGAATCGTGTATGATTTTGTTAAGAAACAAGAATCTCGGTCCTCAACTTTAAAAGATAGATAGGTTTATGATGGTGCAAATGTGGCAACAATAGAAACTTCTAAAGAGTATCTGTCCTATGTCCTATTTCTTTCTGGGAATACGCAAAGTGATAGGAGAAAGAGCAATGGGGAACTTACGTAGTCCCATGGAGAACAATCTTTTGAACTTTAGTAACTTCAGAACCAGATTGATTGTCCTCGATGAAAACTGTCAAGCTGATTCAGAAAAAGGTGTTCATGTTAAACATAAATGAACTTAGGACATAGTGGCATAAAAGACAATAAACACACCTGCGGACATTTTGAAACTTGACATACTTCACTGTCACGGGCTTTCCCTACAGAAATTCAGAATATCGAGCATGTGTCTTCAACAGAACAAAATTGTAAAAACCGCTTGAGTGGAGCCATGGCAACACTAATGTTACCTTAAGGTTATCCTCAGATAGAACAGCTGTATCACTCGGAGGGAAATCATTGACATTGCTGCAAAATACTATAATCAGGAAAAGTTTGAAAAGCTGAGAAAACTTTAATCCACTTAAAAAAAGGTTAAATCACCATATCACCTGAATCCCATGTGCTCCCTGTTAGCAAAAAGTTTTACAGTTCTCGGGCCTACAAAGTTGAATAAAATTACATCCAAACATCGAAAGAAAACTTAGTACGTAATTTATTATATGCCCAAACAACAATTCATATACAATTCTTTCAAATAAAATTTAATTTATGTAGATTATTAAACGTGTGAAAATGCAGCCACCAAACAGAACAGATGAAATGGTCAAACCACGAAAAAGGTAACATTTTTCGTGAGAATAAGAATGAGGTAATCAGTAACAGGAGGGAAAAAAGTGTAGTAACAGCATATGCAATCAACCATCACAGATGAAAGAAGCACCAGTTTACATTTGCAACAATAATACAAACAGCATTACAAATACTCATTAGCAGAAAAAGAAGGATATCGGAAAAATAATTTTAATGGAGAACTAAAAGACTTTCAAGGCTTCCAACAATTAGTTTACCTTCTTCCTCTGGTCCTTCGATTACAAATGAATGGAGTTTAATAACTTGAGTAAAAGGAATATAAATCAACAGTTGTTCATCAGCATCGCTTTCCAAATACAACCCATCGTCTTCTCTGTAACCCTGATTTAAGTAACGAACCAATATAATTTAGAGACAACAATAACACTGAATCCAATAAACATCACCATAAACAGTAACAATTTCCAGGAGACAACAAAGAAACCACAAGCTAACAACAAATGTAGATCAACCTTGGTGGTTCAAGCCGTAGAGGATTTAAGCCAAAACAAAATAGTGACATGATATCGATGACTGTCAAGGTATTTGTGATAAAGAAAGGCAGACACCAAATGCTGAAAGATATGAGGGAGAAAAGAGAGAAGAAGAAGAAGAAGAAATCAGTCGGCAGCCTAGCCTAGTGGCCGATTTTCTTTTATTTTTTTTGGCCGAATTTGTAGAACAACCTCAACCTACGTCAAGGTCTATTAACAACATTGATTATAACACAGTCCTAAATCCAACAAAAAAGTGAAACCCATGAAAGCTCCTATCGTTTGCNAAAAAAAAAAAAAAAAAAAAAAAAAAAGCTTAAATAAATCCTAAAACCCAGTACTATGATTATAAGGAAAAGCAGCAGCTAAGCCAAAATGGATAATTCCAAAAATATACTCAACAAAATGGAGTACATAAAGATAGACACAACATAAACCCAAATCCTTAATTACAAGCTGGGGCAACTAATAATACACCTGTTTGAGAGCATTTGGAAGAGAGTGGCTGCCGCTTTGATTCAAGCATTCCACACCTGACCAGTCCACGAAGTCCAGCAAATCAACCTGTATTCATACACCAAAATGCTTGATCATATACCTAAAACCTATGTCTGTTCCTAATACGCGTAAAAACGAAGCAGAAAGTAAATGGGAAGAAAGGTCAAGTATGTGCTATATATATATATACTTGGCTTCTTGGGATAGCGGAGGCTGATTCGCCGGACATGGCTGCCGCCCGCCGCTGCTAATTTCGGTGAGAGGGAGAGAGAGTGAGAGAGATCCGTCAAGCTGTGGAGAATCCTGAATGAGAATTTTTTATCAGAAAAAAAGGAAAATTACACTTAACCTAACTATAGTGGTTTTAGCATTTCACGCACTCTAACTTTTTTTTCGTAACATTTTGCTTATATAACTTTGCAAAAAATTGCACTTAACAAAAGTGTCGGTGTCGAAAATTTCTAAGGGCAAAATTGACTTTTAGTCATTCAGTAAGTCAATTGTCATTGAAAAATGGGAAATTCTATTGGAAGGCCTGAATTTTATACTTTTTCAACTGAAGGCTTACATTTTAGGTTATTCTTACTTTAAGGCTTACTTTTTAGTTAACTTTTCATTATAAAGCCCAACTAATTTTACTTTTTTCATATAAATATGTAAAACAATTATTATGTGAATGAAAGTTTTATTATTATTATTATTATTATTATTATTATTATTATTATTATTATTATTATGGTTATTATTTATATTTTACATACTCATAATAAAAAATAATAAATTTCTTTAGTAAACTTATATTAATAAAAAAAAATAAAACTATATAAATTACAATGATAAAACATTGGAATTACAATGATGGAAAACTAAGATAGTAAAATTATATTAATAAAAAATGAAACTATATAAACATCTATTTTCAATAATATAATTTTTCATTGTTAAACTTTTGCATAAATATAAATTTATATAGTTTCGAATCATTGTAATTTATATAGTTTTATTTTTTATTAATATCATTTTACTAAAGATATTTATTATTTTTTTATTATAAGTATGTAAAATATAAATTACAAAATAATAATAATAATAATAATAATTTTATTCACATAATAGTTGTTTTACATATTTATATGAAAAGTAAAGTTAGTTGGGTCTTATAATGAAAAGTTAACTAAAAAGTAAGTCTTAAAGTGAGAATAATCTAAAATGTAAGCCTTCTTTTGAAAAAAAAATATAAAATTCAGGCCTTAAATTAATACATATACTAAAAGTTAGGTCTTCCAAGAAATTTCCCCTTGAAAAATTTACACTTTACCCACCCAATTATATGTTTCTTTACACTTTACTTACTCAACTTCTTTTTTTATTTATACTTTGCCCTTACAAATGGTCGGACGATAACTGGAAATTGGTTAAAGACAATTATTTAGAATGTTATCACGAAAAAAAAGTTAAGTGGATAAAATGAAAAAAAAAATCGTATAATTAAATTGATTAAGTGTAGTTTTGCCTATAAAACGTTGAGCTCCGTTTGGCAACTGCACCATAATAGAGCCGAGTCCGTGACAATTATGATTATGGTTTATGGAATAAGTAGTGTTTTATGTTTATAGCTAGTTAATATTTGTGATCAGTATGTACCAAAAAAAAAATATGTACCAAAAAAAAAAAAAATATTTGTGATCAGTAACGCTCCTCTACTCGCAGTGGGCACATTTTAATATGTCAATCGCTTATGTAGCATGCATACATAAGTGATGTATTTTTTTGAACATATTAACATCATCAATGTGTGCATGTCGCATAAGCGGTTGACATATTAATATGTGTCGATCGTGGGTAAGGGAGCATTATCTTATTTGTGATTATTTATGTGTACATATTAAGTGTCCATTCATATTCACATATAAGTCACATTAAGGTCCATGAGTACAAAACTTATATATGATCAATATATTATGATGAATTGCTCATTCTCTTAAATATCCATCAAATATATTTATGTTAATTGTTTTGTTAGGTTGGTCTAACCAGTATGCTGACATGCCATAGTTTGAAGTATATTATTTTTTTCATAAAATATCATATTTTAAAAAATGATTAAACAAATATGATAAAACCAAAATATAAATATATCATTGCTATATATCATTGCATAATATTCAAGTACGGTTATTGATGCAGAATAAATATCAGTATTATTATTATTATTATTTAATAATTAGTAGTAGCTTAGAGAATAAGTTAGATTTAGTTTGTGGGGTTTTTTTTTCTTCCTTAAAAAAAAAGGGATCAATACTGGTTCCCCAATTCCTCCCCGGATGACTCGAACTCGGGACATGGTACACGCCGGGAGAGTATCCCCAGATCGAGAGAGTATCTCGTATTTTCCCTTTCATTCAGTACCTCGCTACATCAGTTGGTATCAGACGTCAGCCACGATTGGACGATACCGCTGACGAGAAGAAACATTGTGACCACCATTGCATATCGATTCCAAAGGATGGATGATCGACTTCAATGGCTGGATGAACGATGCACGGATTTCTCTACCGGGATCGACGAATTACGCCAGACAATGAATACCATGATGAACGAGGTACGTACGAACCGCGAAGGGGCTGACCGGGGCCATCGCGGAGGGATACGCGGAGGTCGTGGGGGTCGAGGTTATTGTGGAGCGCCCCGCTGACGATCACCACCGCCACTGTTGACCGGTGATGTTTCTAACGAAATATGGGGGGACCACGACTTACGGTGGAGTGATGTTTTCGACAAACCTCCACGCAGGGCCGATG